ATACAAAAGCACTATGTCTTGTTTTTAGGTTTGCTGCTGCATTCTGAATAATAACCCTGGTCTTGAAGAAGGCCCGTTTAAATTCTAAATATCCTTGAAAATTCTCTCCTTTTATGTAGCTTTAGGCAAAAAAAATTCTCCAGCAACCTGGGAAATGAGGGGTTTTTTTTCAGTTTTGTAACATGAGTAAGCATTCCCTTGACACTTAGTCATGTGTATTTCTTTTTGCTGCATTTTAATATCTAAAGTACTGCCTTAGAAGTATAAATCTTACGTTAGACATGTTTCAAAATCTTATATTACTGTAAAAGGTATATTTTAATTCTAATCATAGTGTTATCTGAAGTATTGATATGTAAAGATCAGTGCAAATACATTTATTTCAGCTTCTGTGAGATGTTACAGTAAATTCTTCCAAAGCTAGCAGAGAACTTAGGCTTTTTGAACTGATGGTAGAATCGGCAATGATTTCTGTGTGAAGCTGAAAATGGTATGGATGGCATATGCTGTTTTGTTTTGGGGTTTTTTTGTTTCCACTTAAAGCTGTCATACTCAACCAAAAAAAAGTAAATAAATTGAACAGCTAATGCACATAGAAATGCTATTGTTGTATTTATGTGCAATACGTTCCTTTCTCCCCCCTGCCCCAGGGTCCTACATGTAAATGTTTTTCTTCAATAGAATTTATCCGGTCTTCTGGATGCATAGTGAGTCGATGGCTTATTGCAAACACAATTTTCAGTTTACTTCTAATTATTTGACATTTGTTGGGTTGTATGATGTCATTTGAGACGTAAATATTTATTTACTACTGTTCTTATTTTTGCTTAATCTTATATTGCTTAGCTGCTTGTGCACAATTATTTTCTAAAACTGTGTATAACTGTTCAGTTTCTCCAAAGGTGAACCACAAAAAAAGATTAATGGCATCAATGACTATAATTTATTCCTTGAGTAGTAATAAGTACATGGAGTACTTTCCAGCCACGTGTTCATTGTTTCAGCTGATGTGATTTATATAGTGAAATAGGAGTCCGGCTCATGTAATTGAACGCTACATCTTGGGCTGCAGGACAATAAATGAGATTAAGCTGCATTACGTTTCTGAAGGCAGAATATACAGTTGGTAAAATGGGTGGGTTTTAACATTTAGCTTCAGAAAAGTTACTTCAAAAGTAAACATTTTCTGACTAAATGAGAAGTAGGCTGGTGTACGTTGGCAATGTTTGTTATCATAAAATCTAATTAAATTATGATTCATATAATTGAGAGCTTATAATCTTTGCATTAGTGTCTGTTTTCCAAAGAAGTGTTTCAAACATGCTTTCATAGTCTGTTTTAAAGAATTAGAGTTAAATAAAACTCTTACGATGGAAGTAAAAACAGTAGTCTAATTTTACATTTACATAGGATTTTATATTCTATTTCCATTTTTCAGTTTGATAGTGTTTTTAAACATAAATTGTCTTTGAGGGAGATCTACAGTGGGTGGGGTAGATACAATTTCTGTATTATACAAAATAGTAAGTAGAATTTATGGGGTTATTAAAGCCCCAGTTTGGCAAACTGCCGTATAGTTGCATCATCCTGTAATCATTATCTTTTCTGGCTCCTGACCTTACTCTAAGAAATACCATGCTTTTAGTTATCCTTTCACTCTTAACTTGTAATTTGCTTTTCTTATTAGATTATTAACAGGAAAAAAGGCTTTAGGTTTCATATTAAAAATGAATATTCTACAGTCTTATTGCAGCCCCAGCATGAGATTCCTCAAACAATCAATGTAGATACTCCAGTGTTTGCTAAATGTTCCATGCTTGCTATTTATAACAAAGGGCTGCTATTGGATGAATACCCATAGTATTGCACACTTATGACATTTTTTGTTTCTCCTGTTCTTAATATATTTTTTTCTAAACACTCATTTTAAGAAATGCTCAGCCTTTTGTCAGAACAAATGCTTTGACTCTGCTCTGCTGCTGAATGATACTGCGCAGAGAAGGCAATGGCAAGGAGTTTGTTGTTTTTGACAGCACCACTAAAAGCATGAAATGTTTCTGAAGGATTGGCAGAGCCTTGTAATAAGGGCTGCAGGAAATGACTGTGTTGGGTGTGGAAGAAAGACACTGTCCAGATTTAACACACGAGCTACTGAAATACTTGAAAACATAGGACAGGAAATGGTATCATAGGATAGACTAAAATGCTATACAGAACTCCATTGTTTATATAAAGTTATTGTTCTGAAGTTTAAATTTGACTCAGCACCACAGCTTTGGCGTATAAAAGGTAACGCTGACAGCCTAGTGAGTAATAAAATGCTATTATTATTAAAGCCCAGACTTGACTTTCTTATAACAGTAAGTTCTTTATGTTCTGGCATTTTTGCTGAAAATGGAAGATACTGTAACAATTTTTTAGATATAATTTGGTGAAAATTATGGTATTTTCTAATAATTTTTCCTCTCTCACATCTGTTTCCAAGTCCACTTAATTTTTACTCTGTCCACTGTGCAAGATTTCTCTTGCAATCTGATGCTATGTAGGCTAACTAATGTTTGCACTCATTTATAATGGATAGGTATTGATGCATAACTGTATTTAACAAAACCATGATTCTGTGAAAACTGTCTCACGGTTTCAGGAACCTTAGGCGTAGCACGGAACTCAATTTCTCTTTTTTAGCTGGTTGGTTTGTCTGTGTGACCTAGCTGTGGCTAGTTTTCTCCTAGCAGTCAAGAGTATATTTAGCTCTAGTATGTATTCTCAGCTCCAGCCCAACTTTTCAGCCGCTTCAACAAAATTTTATCACTAACCTAGAAGCATCCCAATAAATTCTGCTGTTTTCTGCTGAGGAGTGTAAATGCTTTTGCTTAATTACAAAATGAGTCTTTGCTGTGGTTTTCAATACAGAAGGAAGAATGCTGACATAAAAAGCTTTTTCTTCTTTCTGCTGTCTGTGTTCCTTCTTTCCCCCATAACTTCCAAGTTAAATGGTAGAATTATCAGAAAACGTATTCCCATACCTGCCCCCGCCACCCCCACCCCGGCTTCAGGAAGGTACTAAATTAGAATAACTGCTCCTTGCTCTGTTAACCTTGAAAAACTCAAGGGACTTATCAGATCATCCATGTATGGTCAGGCTTTTGGCACAGTAGGAAATACACAAAGAAAGTAAATCCAGAATTTGAAATCCTGGCTTTAAAGTTGTGAATTTACTGCTCATGCATATGTGAACAAGAATACTGTGGTTGCAAATTCCAGTAAGTTCTACCTACTTACAATTTTTTTCTTTAAAAATATTTAGCAATAACTTTGTTTCCAAAAGACCTTTATAAAACTCAGTAGAATATCTTCAGATCAGCACAAGAGCTTTGTTATAATTCTTACATTAATCTTTGCTTTTGCCATTTCTAAATTGATAAAACAATATGTAGGGTTCCATTTATGGTGGACAGGGAAAAGGTGAGGATTGCATTTGGCAGTTCCCCCACTACGTAACAAGGATCACAGGAGGAGGCTCCCTCATCAGCATCCTGGTGAATTCACACCTAGGTTCTCAACATACACTAGCTAAGTATCTTAGCAGTACCAGTCACCTTCATGAAGTGTTGTGCTGTTACTGAGCATGTTATTGCTGCTTCATTCTTGGTAAGCTTTTAAAGGCATTACAAATTTTGCTAAAGAAGGTAGAATGTGACACTGACAACTTTCTTATTTTAATTGCTTTTAGATTAATATGTACTTAATGTAATAAAATTGGTGGGCATAGGGGCCTATTCAAATTAGAATAATAATACAAAATTCATGCCAGTATGGTGCTACAGGCTATTAGAGAATTTCCCACACAGTGAACTTTGTGCAATAGACTTTTCCCTGAATTGTAACTATAAAGGCAGCTCTCAGAACTGCAATGCTAGTATAAACATAATCTTACTATGAATTGTATTTATTTATACACACACACAAAAGTTCTGTAGTGTGAACTATAGGGTTCCCTGTTGCGAAATTCCCCTCGCTTAACAACTTTTTTTCATTTGCAGCTAAATAAGGTGTGTATATTTTGGGAATTGTTGGTATAAATATGATAAAATCATTGGAATGTGGCTTTAATTTTTTTTTCCTGAGAAATATATTTTGGTTACCATGATTGGTGCTTTTGTCAGTACAGGAAAATAGAATACTAGGCACTAAACTGTTTTACTGTCTTGTTACTTTTTTCTAATGTCTTTTGAGTGTAAGCTAAGGCCTGTATCTTGAGCATATTCAGCTTTTGGAGATTTCAGTGCTGAAGCCAGGGACCTGTAGGCTTTGGCTTGTCTAATTCTACTTAGAATGAGTATCAGGAGTAAGGTAGAGAAAGACCTGTGTAAAATAAATTGACAGGCATAAACGACATGTATATCTGTGTCCAGAGATTGGAATGAATTTGAAGAGAAAGGATTTGTTGCTAAATGTAATAATCAGACAGTATATATTTTTGAGACTGAAATTCATTTTATTAGAGAATAGATGCTGGAGTCCTGCAGATCTTGAAGATGTTTGAAGAATACATTTTAGAAATAGAGACTTTAAGAGCTGATTTTTTTTTTTTTTTTTTTTTAATTCTCACAGGCAACAATTCAGTATATTTCATATTCTGGGGGTGGGGACGAAGTGGGGTTGTGCAAAAGCACACGCTTTTTTGCAAGCTTAGCCTGGAGGAACTTCAAAGGGCAAAATAAAAAAAACCACAACAGATGTTATTAGAAATCGTTCTTTGGCAATATGCTCTTCTCAGCATTTAAGCTGCCACAGTGTGCCCTTGAGGTGATACTACCTTTACATATTGATCTTCTGGTGAAAGTGCTTTCTGTTTGTTTGATCATTCGATACTGCACCTCTTGTGAGAAGTTTTTTATTGGAAGTTTTACAAAAGAAATATTGAGTAATTTGTACATGTGCACCAAAATTTTGTATTGCTACTTCTCTTCAGTATTACACTGTTTTTCCTCTTTCAGGAAATGGGTTTGTGAATTCTCGAGCTTCACCAAGTCTACTTGGAACTACTGGTGGTGGGAATGGCTTAGGGAAAGTCATGCCTACAAAGTCTCCACCTCCACCTGGAGGAGGTAATCTTGGAATGAACAATCGCAAACCCGACCTCCGTGTTGTCATACCACCCTCCAGCAAGGGTATGATGCCACCATTGGTAAGTTAAAACATTTGTTCTATGACTGGCTTTGTAAAAATGAAGTGTTCTGTCCGCATGCACAAGGAGAAATTACCTCATCTGTTTACCATAGGTTACAGTAATAGAAAGGTGTTTGTATTCTGAAATTTCCCTAATGTAAATCTAACTTATAAGTTGTAACCTTGGGAGAAGTTAAATTTTAAGGCACTTTTTAAAAAAAGTGTAAAATAGCAGTCTGACCTAAAGGCAGTTAGAGTGCAATCCTAGAGGCATAGATTGGGATTTTGTTGTTTTGATATGACATCTTGCTGACTTGGTACCAATAACTTTGCTGGTTTGGAGGATGTGGGTTTTAAAAAGGGTTATGCATTATTCTGTGGAGGAATGGCTGATCTTATTGGTGATGTGAACTGTATTAACGTGCCCTAAAGCACAGTTTGTATGTGTTTTTCCTGGGTCGTAATGGTTGTGGGATGCAAAACGTAGCTTCGGTGGTAATGATGGTCTGAGAGAAACACTTGTTTGATGTGGTGTGCTGGAATGCAACCTTGTGTGTCCTATGGTGGATGTCATGTCTTCAATGAAGGCATAAAAGAGTAATGAGGATCAGGCTCAGTCCCTATTTGTGTACTTTTCAATACTACTGTGCAGTTTGGCATGTTGGTAGTAATGTGTGCTATTCCAAATCTAGGCTGAACAAACAAGTTTCATGTCAGGCATGAGGCAACCACAGCACTGAGACCAGAACAGGTCTTTCAGGAAGAGTTACTCTATTTTTCCTTTAATTTGGTTGGCCAGATCCTTTGGTCTTAGTCTTTAACTGTCATGTAGAAATTTTAAACATCTATGTGTACGTTTTCTGTGTATGGAAGAATGAACCATAACCAAGAGGAGCAGGATATAAACAATACAAGTATTCTCTGTATAATTCTTATTTGTTTTTAAGATACCACAAGTGCTTACATTTGTTACTGGTATTCATAATGAATAATACAAAATTAATCCAAGTAACAAAAGCTGTAATTATCCTCAGAGTAATGATTCTTGCAGTTTTAGGTTTTTCTAGGAATGCTGAAGTGTAGAAGACATAGGAAATACACTGGCTGATTATTTAAGTGAAAATTAGGCTTTTAAATTAATTAGAAATAGCTACAAGAAGAGGATCTTGTTAATGCAGTTGTTCTAATGTTAGTAGTATACAGTGCCTATTTACTGTTGTGTTGTGAAGAACAACATAATATTCAATTTAGGTTTTGTCTGTCTTTTTGAGGAAATTGGGAGTAGAGATGCTGGGATGGTATGATGGTTGTATGTGAAAAATATTTTGTTACTGAGCTGGATGTTTATTGGATCAGTCCAGCCAGAAACTGCTGTGCTCCATATCTACATGTGTCGTCAATGTGTAGCTGTGTCCTTGGTTTTACTAAGCTCTTTCTGCACTAATTTTGCCAAAGCGTGTGTTCTTTCAGTGCAGTATTTTTTAATTGACCCGAATTATGTAAAGTATTATACTTCCCAGTAGTATTATTTACAGAACCAGGTGGCAAATTCACATTATTAATTAAAATAAATAAAATTCCTGAAGCACAAACATGACTTTTTCTTTCATTTTTGAAAGCAATGCTATTTTTAGTAACTGTGTTATCCCTCTTGTTTGCTGAGTACAGTCGGAGGAGGATGAATTGGAGTTGGTGAGTCTGGGCTACTGTTTGATGAGAGAGAGCAAGATGCTGAAAATGTCTTTTACTACAGTTTTTTAAACTGTAGTTTCATTACATATTTTAAATAATTCCAGTGTTCCCTTGATAGCAGACAAATACATTTGTTTTATCAAACTCAAAACATGACCAATTCAAGTCGAAAACACATCCAAAGCCTAGCGCTTTCCATTTGTAAACTTCTGGTTTTTTTCCTGAAAAATTTTCTGGTTTTCTTGGAGGGAACATTGGAAAAGAGCCTTACAGAGTAACTGTCCATGTGTATAGGATATTTACTGTCTTTTCTGTAAAATATAAACAACCACTTACCATCCTTTAAATTATTGGAATATTTTTAGAAAGTGGCTTCACTCATGAAGTTCTTCAGATTGTAACACAAGCCCTGTATTACTTCTCTTATTTTCAAGGAGATTACATCATTGCTGGTGAGGTCACCTTTTTGGAGTTTAGAATTATTTCATCCTGTGTGAGATTATCAAACCACAGGGGTGTTCCCTGTTTACCAAAAGGAATAGAGAATTGCAAATGAATAATTCTACCTTTTTCCAGTGGAAAGATACTCTGCTTTTGAAAGGAAACTCTTGGGATTTGTGTGTTCTCTATTTTTCCAAAAGGTTTTAACATTTGGCATTCTGTCTGGAAAATAACGTAAGGCTAAAATAATTTGTAACTTATTTTTAGAGCAATTTGCAAATTGTTTAGCTGCTGTAGCACAAACCACGCAGAAGATGCTGCATCATTGTAAAGATACACAAAGAAGTCTGCCTATTACATACCTTGATTTATTTTTGAACATGGACCTGTTGCTAATATGAGGCTCTAATTGCATGAAAGCATGGAAAATGTAGTGATTTAGATAAATTTCTTGATGAATGCATGCTGTTGGTTGATTTTTTTTTACCTTAAACATGAGCAATAGATTTACAAAAGTAAGTAAAGGGAAATGATTTTTTGAAAGTCAGTATTTAAGTTTTTAAGGTTTATTGGAATGACTTGAGGTTATAAACAGCTGTCATGCGTGCCCTTCCTACCTTTATAGAGGAGTGTCTGGTTTCCAGTGCAAGAAATAGAACTTTAATTAAATGTAAAAACACGTAATCAAAATCGTGTTGCAACTGGAATTATGCAAGAGCACTTGAGTTAAGGTATTCCTACCTGCTAAAAAGTGCTATGCTCTTTGCAGTGTGAAATAGTGCGACTTGCTGGAGGCGGGTTGGTTTATGGATACTATATGGAGCGTGGGCCCTCTAGTGGTTTTAAAAACTGGGCTCATCTGTTTGGGGAAGAAAGCTCACACAAAGAAAATGTAGTAGTGTCTTCCTCAAACGTGGTAAAGAAATATGAAGTACATCTGCAATGTTACGTCTCTTATTATGCTAATTTCTGATGCTAATTCCAGTCCTAGAAAGCAGTTCCAAATCATGTCTGTGAACATTCATTCTGTGTGGTTGGAACTGAGTACTGAATATGAAAAACAGTTAAGAACGGTAGCATAGCATGAAATAAAGATATTGAATTCTTCCTGTTACTGCTATCATTAGCACTGGTTTAAAAAAAAATAAAAAAATTCCTAAAAGTTGTCATAAATTTTTGGTTGAATCTCCAAGTACAACAAATATTAGACACATCTAAATATGTCTTAGTGTCTTTGTATGGCTGAGTGTTCAGGAATTGTATTCAGAAATAAATTACCTCAGAAAACTACCTTTATTAGCCACTCAAAATAAAAAAAAAAAAAAAAAAAGAAAACCCCATGGGGAAATCCTTTGGTCTGGATTGTTTCCCAGTATACTCCTCTAACTTTTCCATTATACAGTAATCCCAACTTTATAGGCTGCCATCCAAGAAAGCTTTGGAAAAAGGTCAATTTCTGACAGACACAAAAATCTGCTCTAATAACATATCTTTATGCCAGATAAACTTGGTCTAGTGGAGATTTTCAGAAGTACATAAGTGATTTAAAGGGATAAATTACACAGAAAATCAGTGTGACTTTCTCTGTGACTTAGGGCTTTGAAATCTGGGAGCTCTGAAGCAGAGTGGGTACATCTGCTGAACAAATGCCAAAGAGCCTCCAAATTCTTACGAGGCTCAAAGGTGGGCTTTTAACAGCAGCCAGACAAAACAGAGATCAGAAGCTGGTAGCCAGTGGAAGATTGTAGCTAATTTTAATGTGGTAGCTGTGGTATACTTTTTTCTTTAAATTGGAAAGATATAAGCCAAGGATTGATAGCCCTCGATTCATCTTCGCAAGTTTAAGCTTAGAATTGAATAGAGCCATGTTTCTGTGCCTGCTCATTCCATTATTATAAAGGGAATCATGCATTTTTTAATACTGCTCACTCTCTGAAGATCAGTGGAGAAAAAAAATTAAGTGCTGCAGATACTGAAATACTTGTATACCTGTCCAAAATAAGAAAAAAGTAGTAGTAGCTTCAGTCTTTCAAAGCTAGGAAAAGGAACTCTACCAAAGAGATGAAAACCTGCTACTTTCGTAGCAAATATTTTTTCAGACATAGAGGGGAGGCTTGCTTTAAAAACATATTTTCAGCAGTTTGAAATCTGGCTCCCTTAATCAGGATGGTTCTATAAGAATGTAGAAATACAGGGTGTAGAGACTTCTACTTCCAGTATTTCTAAGACTTCTGTAGGTAAAACTAAGTATCTGTTGTTTAAAAATAAAAAATGTAGTATTTCCTGTTCTTGACAGTATCTGGCATGGCTAAATGGTGTTGAACTACATATTTTGAAGAAAGATTTAAAGTTGCCTCCATGAAAAGTAGTATGTTCTGTGTCAGAGCAGCTTTGCTGTCTGGTGGTATTCACCACAGTGTTTAATACAAGGTTTTCTAAACAGCAGATTTGGTTAAAGAGCTTAAATTAAGTGCTGTGTTTGCTACAGATGTTCATTCTGGTATATGGGAAAGACTGTTGTTAAAAAGCCACATCGTGCCTACAGTTAGAACAGATAATCTGAGACAATCTAGCTTAGCTATTTTTCCTGTCAAAAAGCACAGTCGCTCTGTGTGAACTCAAATGTCATTTGCTTTGAAACATATCTGCATTATAACAAGTACTCTCTCAGTTTCTCAGGAACCATGGGAACAGCAAGATTATTTTATCACTGAGGTCTTATCAACACAAATTTAGAAGATCTCTGTTCCTTTCAGGACAGGTGTAGTCAGCACAGTGTCAAAACTGGCAGCTAGAATTCTGAAAATTGGATAAACAGCTGGGAAGTGGGAGACTTTTCTGGTGGAACTGCACCTCACCATCTGCACTAAAACCTCTTTAAAAATTAAGACTAAAAACTCTAAAATCACTTAAGAACTTCTGAGAATTATTGTGTATATCCCTAAGAAATTGCATTTATTTTTATGTCCTACAACTCTAACACTATTGAAATCTGCATGCATGGGAAGCGGACCAGTGAGCCTTAATTTTTCATTTCCATTTGCTAAGATCATTTTGGTTGTCTTGAAATGTTTTGGCTTGTTTAGAAAATCTATCCTGACAAAAGGGCTGTACTTGTAACTAAAAAATAAAGCAAAGAAACCCATTTTAATTGAATGCTATTTTTATATTAGCACTTGATTTTCCATTGTTCTGATATCACAAGACATGTTGTTATTTTTAATCATTTATAGAATACCCAAAGGATAAGTAGTTCTCAGTCTACACAGCCTCTTGCTACCCCTGTGGTGTCTGTGACAACTCCAAGCTTGCCTCCACAGGGATTGGTGTATTCGGCCATGCCTACAGCCTACAACACTGGTAAGCATTGTTTTTAATAAGTGGCTTGATCTGTCGGATGTACAAGGCTTTTGTGATTCATAAGCCCAGAAAATTTGCATTTCTGTGACACTTCACTTTATTTTCCTATTCAGTTCAAATGAAGGCTCTTACCATCAAAAATGAGCCTTTAGCTTGTAAAACGTGTAAATGTTGAGACATCAGGAAGAAGCTTTCAGTCAGTCAGGTTGCACACAGCTGAATAGAGAGACACACAATAAAATGGATTGCTTATAGCAGTAGCATTCAAGCTTTCCATCTGAGAACTGAAATGCCTCACGTTTAAGCAATAGTTGATACTGCAGAGCATATTGTCCCTTTTGTTCTGCTCTGCTCAGTTCCAGCAGCAGGAGGGAATCGGACTCCACTGGGGCTTTCAATTTACAAAAAAGTCCAGATAGGGTCTTCTCTTCAGCAGTTTTATCGAGAGTCAGGTGGGGACTCATGGGAAGGCATTGTCAGCATTTCACCACTGCGAGTCTCCATTATCTGAAGGACCTTAAAACTACTTTTTATCCAAGATGGGTGTGATGCAAGGAATTTGGAGATATAAGTGATAATTGGTTTGCTGGTTTGGAAAGCAGTTCATGATGTGGTGCCTCCTACTTTGTCTCCATACTGATAGAGATAATTTTGACTTCCAATCTCAAGGTTCTCTATTTGTTACAGACCTTGTATGTAATCAGTAAAGGAATTTTTGTAATCATTTCCTTGAAAGGCTGCAGCCTTGATGGCATCAGGTTGATTACCATTGATCTGTGATGCATAATTTAATTTTCAAATGCACCTGCAGAGAAACTACATTGCAGATAAGTGTCAATAAATTTTGTAAGTCAGAGTTAAAATAACTATCGGTAAAAACTAAAAAGGAAAGCAAAGGAAGTAATTCCCCAGTTCGCTGTTCTTTTTAGATGAAGTCTAGTTAAGACATTCAAATCTAAGTGCTATAATTTGTTAAAACAGGAATTTCTGAACTGGGGACCACTGTGTCGGCAATGTTTGTCTTATTTGGTAGACTTTGAAATTCTAAAAAAATAAAATCTTGCTTCTCTCTTCTGCAATGATCGCTCTTAGGAACTGAGCTACACTTAAAGAGCTTCCCTTTATAGCTGATCAGCTCTGGCTCTCTGGCTAGACAGAAGGGCTTGAGAGTATTATTGTTGTCTTTCTATGAATCTAGGAAGATCCACCTCTCCAGTAGAAGAGATTCCCCAGTAGCATCTCTTCCCTTGACCTGTATCGCCTTTGGCTGTACATAAATAGTTGGCAGGCATGAGATGCTCAGGAAGCTGGGAGGCAGTGGAGGACATACTAGGAAGGAATAAATAGCTTTTCCTTAAGGAGCTGCGGTATTGGGTTTATATGGCAAGGCTTTGGTAGTGGTGGGGGGGAAGGAGGACGGGGACACACACGTCCTGCAGGGATGGCTTCTCTGGGGCAGCTCCTGATCTGTTCTTAATGTCAGACAGAGCGTGTTTCAGACGGCTGCAAAATGTACTTGCTCCTGCCCGAAGCTGAGCCCATCAGCAATGCTGGTGGCACCTCTGTGATAATATATTTAAGAAAGGGTAAAAAAACGCTGCGCTGGTCTATTGTCAATGACCTAATGTTCTTACTCTTGTGCAAAGGTCAGGACAAATCCAAAAAAACCTTCAAGGTTTGTAGAAAATGGGTAAAACCTGAGTGATATCGAGGTTTTGTAATTTTCTTTGTTTTCTGCAAGGAGGGGCGCCATCAGGAGTATATAATGTTGGAAGATGGAATAACAGAGTAGCCATTCGTTCATGATATTTTTCCCAACAAAAAAAGATGCGATTTTATACATTTTCTTCTGCTTTTTTTAGCTTTGAAAGTCTTCACTACAGTTTTTAGTTTCGACTTGTAACATCTTCCAGCCAAGCAACTCACATCTTTTTGTATTTATCTTTTTTATATTAATGGACTCATTAACTGACATTTACTACCCTTCAGCTCCTTTCTGGGTTTGCCTCAGAGGCAATGCCCCCAAGCAGTTATTGGCATGCATGAGGTTTGCATTTTGAGAGGGACTGTTTAGTCATCAGCAACAGTAAATATTTATACTGTGGTAGCACCCAACTAAATTGTTGAACATTTATGCAAATAATCGCTACCCTGAGGGTGGTTAAAGTCTAAAGAAATGAATGAAAGAGAAGATGAGGTTGCAATAACAGTATAATGAGCAGACTGAAGAATTGTGCTTGGTGACTTGTTTTGGATTATAAGCTTAAGTATGAATTTGCTGGACATATGGATCTTGGTTTGATACTTGCCACAAAGATTTTTTTATATATTGCATTTAATAGCTGTTTAAAGTAAGCATGTAGTTCTGGTCCTTGCTCAGAAGACCCACGTTGAGTTTTACCTCTCACCTAACAAATCCCTTCATTTTCTCCTGCAGTTTGACATTGTTTCGGGAAGCAGTGTTGTGTGCATCCCTCATCCAGAACTTACAAGCTGATGGCTAAAACAGGCTTTTTGGGAGAGAGAGACTGTAGTCTGAATCTCAGGAAGCAGCATTGAAACTGGTGTCCTATGCAATGGACAAGTGCTGTTATCACTGGGATACAATTTTAAAATCCAGTCGATTTCCTTTGATAATGCAATAATTTGTGAAAAGCTTTTAGCCTTCAGTGTTTTTCAGACACTTTAAAATTGTTTCAATTAGATTGAGCCTTTCAGGGGATCTGCAAAAAGAAATTTGATGTTGAAACCAGATTGTTATCTGGGTACTCTCAGGGTAGTCACCGCTTATGTAGCAATTTCAGTTTTGCAGTGCAAGGACTAAGATAAATTTTAGATACTTAAATTGTTTTTCTGGATTGATAGGGTTTTTTTCAGGGCTGGAAAGGATAGATTCAGTTCTTAGATCCTTAATTAAAATGTTCGATATCAGTTTTGCACAAATATACTATTGTATATAATTTGTTTTGCTGCAGAAATATTCTTTCTGCAGATTGCTGGAGGAAGAGCCAGAAGGAACTGAGTTACTTGTTCTAAAACAGTGTAGGCATTTTTAAAAATATTCAAAAAACGCAGAGATCAGTTAAATAGTAACTTCCACTTGACAGAGCATATCTAGCCATACCTTATATTACTGGCTCTAGGTCAGTTATTCTGCAAAGGCACAAACTTCAAAGGTATCTTGTTGTTAGGGTCGCAGCAGTAATGGTTTCCGTCACGTAGAAGGCACTCTTGTGTCTGAACAACTTTTCCGTCTTGCATCAGGCCACTCATGTATAGAAACTGGTGTCCTGCTTTTATTGCTAACAGATATATGATTATTTAGGGAAATGATAATGCAGCTAATTGTGTGTGTACTCTTTGGAAAAGTATCTCCTCAAACCCCTGTCATCAGACATGTTCTGTCTTAAAGTACCAGAAGTTAATTGTCCATTACCATAAAAGCTACGATTGTCAAGAAAAAATACATGGAAACTGAATTCCTATAAACATTTTCTTCAGGTCTGCTCTTTCAGAAAACCCATTGGCACAGAATAGCACATCCATCTCAAGTGTTTACATGTACTACACTTGCACGTTGCCATAGGTCTGGCTGCTTTGAAGGTTGAGTGCATGTCCTAGTCATTGGAGGGTTGGATTTTTTTTTTCAGTTGTTTTAGTTTTTAGTTTAGTCTTGCAAAAGGGCTTTGGATTGATCAGCTGGGGAAAACTCTTTCTGAATCTGTGCAGGAACACTTGTGAGGGTTTTTCAGAGTTCCAATAAAAATGTCAACTGAGAAGAAATGAAACAAAAAGGAGGAGGCAGCTTAAGTAGCTTCGCTTGCTGGGGTGCAGCTGGGCTTCCCACGGTCTTCAGGAAGATTCTTGCAGTGATGCATATGCATCTCTGAAAAGGGCAATACCCTGCTGGCGCTGGGGTCTCCTTCCTTTGTAGGTTGTTAAAAGGGAAACCTAGAAGTTGTCCACAGCAAACCAGCCGGTGGATGGGAATGGGGAAATTGTTCAAGAAAGCTTATCTCAAGAGAGATAAATCATAATGGTGTTGTCATAAATACTTAAATTGTTGTCACAATACTTAAAAAACCAACCCAAAAAACAACCCCCCAAAAAAGGTAAAACCAAACATAAACAAAACACAAACCCTACTTAAGCAGAATTTTTGGTTCATCTGCTGGCAGTATAAAATAAGTTTGGCTGCTAGCATTTTGTTGCATTGTCAACAGACTAGAAATTATTTTAAGGAAGCTATATTACAGAATAATTAAAAGCAGAGAAGTGTTTGCGGCTTTGTTTTAAAACCTGAAAGAAAAACATGAGTGATAATGATAAAGTGAAAATAACTCCCCCTGTGCGAATGAAGTGAGAACTGTCTAAGCATTATAGCCTAGCCAAAACTAACAGCCGGTCGCTAAGTGTTGATTAGGAATATATTGTATTTTCTATTATCCATTTAAGTTGTATTTCTAAATTATAATTTTTTGTTCTAAATAAAGAGGTTTCTTTTGTTTATTTGAAACAGAGATGACAGTTTAATCAGACATAAAGTAACAAGTGAAGCTGTTGTGGGGAGAGGGAGAATGTAATGCGTTACAGTAGGACTGCACAAATGGAGTGGACAGAGGGGTCACCGAGGCTGCCAGTTGCAGTGACTGTGGTCGTACCATCCCTTAGGCATCCTGCCGCTGCCTGTGCCTCCCCACCCAGACTGCAGCTGCATGGTTGGTTTTGGATATAGGTTGTGGGACTACGAACTGCTTTGTAACATGAGCCCACCAAACGTTATCTGCGTCTCATCTGGCTAACTGCTGCCTCCCATCTGGGAACCGAACCAGAATCGGTATTTCTTTAGTGAAGTTCAGTGCAAGAAACACCGTTCCTCTCTAATGACTTGTATTAATTCTTCCCTTTTTGTTTCATTTTGAAATTTCCATGCAGACTAAAATTTTCAAAAATGCAAATACTTGTCTTACTGTAAGATGTATATATATTAAAAAAATGCATAAATATGTTGTACCTGTGGGTTCAGAAGAAGCTATATGAGACAGCAACATGTAGGAATTGAAAGTGGAATACAAAAAAAGGTCATTTGGAGACTTATGTCTTGTTAAGCTCCTCGTGAAGTTAGGAGGACTGCTCCCAGACTTCAAAGTTTTCATTGTTGGACTCCTTTGGGTCACTTGCCTTTATTTGTTTTGTGCAGAAAGCCTTTATATTTGTGTGCGCGTGTGTATCGCGTTTTTTTAAATGTATGTATGTGTACATATAAAAAAATCTGTAAACTACTTTCCTGTTTATTTGTTTTTCCCTCTTAGATTACTCCTTGACTAGTGCAGACCTGTCTGCCTTGCAGGGATTTAACTCCCCAGGAATGCTGTCTTTAGGGCAGGTATCTGCCTGGCAACAGCACCATCTCGGTCCAGCAGCCCTCAGCTCTCTTGTGTAAGTAAATCTGGTAACGTTACAGTACTGCACCCACTCGGGACCTTCTGCCACTTCAAGCTGAATAATCTGCGCTGGGGAATATTTAGCACAAGACCATTTTAATTTTGTGTCTGCTGGTGATGGTGCGTTGCCTTTCAAGTTTGCTCCTCGGCTGCAAAAGCATTCATGTTTCATGTTTTTTCAGTTAGTTCAGCATTCAAGCTGACAAGCTGTGTCCCTGCAGGGCCAGCCTCTTACGAAGGAGTCACCTGCACGATGAACTTAAATGTTTGGAAGTATTTCTGTTTGTTTTTTGACTTCCATAAATGCATTCAAACCTTTAATGCTTTTTTTCAGCTTTGTTTCTTCACTTCAGTAAGTTGCATTTACTTACATACTCATTTTGGGGCTGTTGATCAGCAAGACCACACCATCATGCAGACACATGAATTGTCACTTTCTTTTCCTTTCTCATGTTTTCTTATTTCTGCCTTTTGGTTTTCTTTTTCCCAGTACTGGCAGCCAGCTATCTCAGGGTTCGAATTTATCCATTAATACCAACCAAAACATCAACATAAAATCTGAACCAATTTCACCTCCCCGGGATCGTGTAACTCCCTCTGGGTTCCCGCAACAGCAGCCGCAGCCGCAGCAGCAGCAGTCGCGGCAGGAAATGGGTCGCTCTCCTGTCGACAGTCTCAGCAGCTCCAGCAGCTCCTACGATGGCAGCGATCGGGAAGACGCGAGAAGTGATTTCCATTCACCTGTCGTGCTGGGAAGGCCACCGAATTCCGAAGATAGAGAGAGTCCATCGGTAAAACGAATGAGGATGGACACATGGGTGACATAAACTTGCAGTGTTGCCTCTTCAGTTTTGCGCTCTCAGAATGAACTGTCCTGACATATCTAAATTTATAAATAAGGACGTGAAATAAGTCTATTTATATGTATATACATACATGCATATATATATCTCCACATGCATATATATGTGCTAGTGTGTGTAGCATACACAAAATCATCAGGCACTTACGACAAACTTCTTGTATAGCTGCAGATGTCCCATGGTAAAATGTAACAGAACAATCCTATAGGTATTGATCTAGTCTGGCACTTACCTGGACTTGTTGTTTTAATAATATAACCTGTTTTGCAAAGAAACGTTGTACCCGCATTATAATCCTACCACACTAGATTGCAGAAACCAAGAGGGCTCGCCTGTAGTAATGTCCCTGTGTGTTTTATTCAAGCTGTATGGTTACTCGTAGTTAAGAAATAATGCTTTGTAGCAGCAGAGCAGTAGAAAAGCAGGAAGAAGAAAGCAATACTGTACATAAAATGACCTTTATATTACCCAACCTGGCATGGGTCTCTATTGCAGAGGGTGCATGGAGAAGGGCTGATGCTGTAAGAGATAAAAAAAAAAAAAAAACAACAAAAAAACCCACAAAAACCCTGTTTTGCACGTGCAACAAAAATAGTGTATTGGGTCAAAGAAGTGATTTTTTTAATGAGTGAGAGAGAGACATAGAGAACTCGCATGAAATATTCAGAAAATATTAGCCTAGAAAATAGAACATTAACAAAATAAAATTAATATATTAAGTTATAATTGGAATATGTTTGACAAATTTGTTTTTACGTTCATACCTTTGAAAAATATAGAAACGGATTTTAGCTCATGTATATTTTATATTAAAGAAAACAATACCCTAATGAATTGAAGACTATATATAAAGTTATATACAGTACTTTTGAACACATTCTGCTATGAATTATTTATATAAGCCAAAGCTGTATGTTGTAGCTTTTTTGTAGAGTACAGTTTTATCTTATTTTGACTTTCTAGTTTTTGCTTTCAAAGATGAAAAGGAAAAACTTGCAGGCGGAACCTTGGGGGAAAAATAAGCCATGAACACTTATATGTAAATTTAAATTTGAGCCAAACTCTTTGTGTATATAGCATCCTAAATATATTATCACCTTTGGTGTAAGTACCTATGTATTGTACGTTCACCAGATTAAAAAGTATATTTTTGTGGATTGACGCCAACTTGAAAAAAGGCGAGGTCCTTATTAAGTAGAGTATTCACTGTTTAATATTTACTATTTTGTTAAATATACTGTACTTTCTTTGGATTTTAATTATTATTAATATTATTATCCAGATTTTTCAGAGGGTGTATAAAGGGGTTGTCCCCCTCACTGGTGGTGAATGTGTGCCGTTAAATTGTAATCTCTGTGCTGTATGGTTAAGCTTCATTATACATTTTATATATATGTATATAAATAGCAAAGTGGCAAAAAAAAATCCGGTGTTAAGTTCATCCTGCATAAATATAAAAAATCTGTTACGACGCATTTTAAGGCATCATTTTAAAACTGCCTCTTCCGAGGAGGGGGGGGAAAAAAAGAGTGGAAAAACTTGACCTAATTTCTCATGATAGGGAAATAACACATATCAGATGAGCACAAAAGGTTTTTTAAGTCGGCAAGTGGTTTGGGATAAAGCCTCAGAAATAAATTTGCTGTTCTTCTTTGCCGCTTCCATGAAATAGAGCGAGGAATCCGGAGGCCCATCGTGTCCCAACAGCTGGCTAGGAGAAGGCTTTGTTTCGTGCTTGGGTTGGGTAGCTCCATCTCACTTGCACAGTCTGGCTGTGTCGTGACAAGGACAGCAAGGGCAGTGTCATCTCTCCTCGTAACTTCTGGGTGACTAGAAGTAACTAGGTCGTCTTCTCCTGGTAACTTCAGACCAGTGGAGGGGGTAAAAGCCAGGTTTGAGCAGCAAAAAGGCTCGGGAGCCAAAAACTCAGTATACCGGCTTATACCAGCCCGGTTCGGTGGAGCCCATTTCCCGTTAGGGAGCGTTCTTGCCTGGCCGAAATCCGGTCTCCTTCCAGGGCCCTGCTATGCCCCTCATCTTTCTGCCCCTCTGAAGTGTTCGTTTGCACTGGGAACCAAATTTATTAGATGCAAATAAATCTTACTGCTGGTAGTTCTGGTTCTGGGGAGGAAACTACAGTGCTGTCTTAGTATCCAAACCCCTTTAAGTTATCCCTGATATTTATTAGATTTTTGCCTGGGCTTTAACTTTTTATTTTTTTGTAACTTAAAAAATCACTTACTCGATACTGTAATGAGGAAGTGTGAGAAACGGAAATCCACCGGGGACAGCTGTCTCCTCGGCTGCTTGCTTTAATGGGCGATTGAAGAACAAAGTCAGTATGTACAGCTTCCGAAGCCGATCTCTGGTCGTCATGGTAACTTTAAAAAATGTGCCGGTTTCAATCCGTTTCAGCCACTTACCTTTGGAAATTACTCTCCATTTACTGTAGTTAGTTACCGGTTTACCGAAGCGTAGAGGAAGATGAGACTCATTCTAATGGTGACCGAATTCACTTACCGCTTCAGAGAACCTTTTAATGCTCTGAGAAGTTACGTGATTTTTTTCATTATTTATGCACATAGATGAACTTTGCTGTACATCTGAGTGGGAGTTCTGCATTCACATTTACTGTCTATTTTCTTGTGTGCCTTATAAGATGGCTTTGCTGACTGTATCTCAATAGTCTTTATTTCTATGCAGGTTTTTAAACAGTGCTATTACTGTTTTCTTAAAGAAAAAAGCTACATAAGGGTTAGAGTTTGTATTGAAATTGCACCAATGAATTAAAAAAAAAATAAAAACGTCACCGGTTCTTAAGAACGGCTAACGGGAGTGGTCACATGTTGCCCCAAGCCCTCCACCAGACTCAGCAGAACAAGGCTTTTCACAGACCTCCCGCCTCAGGGGGAGAATCTCATGCCGTTGAATAAATGGGAAATCCTGATTTTTAATAACAAGTAACTAACTTTGGAACATACTTTTTTAGGAATTGTAAAAATGTTTTATAAAAAAGAAAAGACGACATAGCACAGATATTTCAACAGGTAAAAAAATACTTTTTTTAATTAACTGTACGAACGAAGTTGCAAGTGGATCCAATCCTAGTCTGAACCCGTTCAAGTCTGAATGATTTAAGGTTTTTATCTGCTGTTGTGACAAATCACCTCTCCATCTCTGAGCTCTCGCTAGAGTGTTTAAAAATACCTGTTATCAGGGCTTCGTCAGAGAAAAATGCTTTAGCCTTTCCTTTCACTTAAAGGACACTAATGCATCAGAAACTTGCGAATTACTGTGCGCACAAGAAATACATAGTAAATAAGGAAGAAAATAACTCCTAACAATTGATCATGGGAAGAAGTTAAATCAGAATGTGAAAGAAAGACTTAACAAATGTAAACATTTAAATCTTAGTAGAAACTTTCTTCACTTTGCTGTGCAAGAGAACACTGCTTTGCTATATTTAAAATGGCTTTTTTAAAAGAGATTTATGTATTTGGTAAATGTTTGTAGTCAACAGTTCACAAAGAAGCTGTTCACGGTTTAATGATGATAAGCCGTTTGGCGGCACAAGCTGGACTTTGTTGCCATCCTTGAGACGAATCTTTTAAGAAAAAAATAAGTTAATCTCAATTTTTTTCCCTGAATGTGTTGTTTTTTCTTCAATATACAATAAATATTCTAGTGAACTTTTTATCAAATGGTTAAGAAAATGCTAGAGGTTGTTGTAAAATATTTGTATCCTGCATTCACTAAAGTAAAGATACTGGCTTTTACTGTGTACTCCGGCCTCTCTCGTATTTGCAGAACATGTTTTTGTTTAGCGCACCTTTGCCCTCCCTCTTCAGGTTCCGTCTTGAAGTATTGGTTTTAAACTGCAGCAGCGATTCTTTTAATCAGTATGGATTTTGGGGGATACATATACTTGTTATTACATACAAATTAAGAACTGATGCTCTGTAAGAACCTTACTACAAAACGCTTACAGAAACTTGCAAGAAAACCCTGGGTAGGTTCAGCCTGGTGACCCGAAGGCAAGCCCTTCCCTCCTGCCCCTCTCCAGGCGTTCACGTCTCCTTCCGCTGCTGCTTCGTGCTGCTGTGAGCAGGGCAAACAGCCGGGGCCCCGGGAACCTGGTGTGGTGGCTGCGGGCAGAGTTGCACCGTGCGGCGCTGCCCCGTGCCCATCACTGCTCCACCTCTGTGGCCACAGCTCTGCATTTTGAAACCAGGCGCAAGGAAGCAGCACCACCCCCCCACGCTCATGGCCGTGGGACGGAGTTCTGTGAGCCGAACGTCTCCTGCGTGAGAAAAACCCTGGCAGAGAAAGGCGTTCTGAATGCTCACTCTTTCTAGTGGCAGGTGGAGATGCTGCAAGGCACTCGGCTGACCTGGGGAAGTGCTCAGCCTAGTTGTGGTGGCAAAAAAGAAAGCGCATGCTGTCTGGGGTGGGTGGTGCCCCTGGTGCTTTTATTTCATTTTGCTTTATTTAAAAATGTAATAATTCCCCCCTCCCCCCAACAAAGAGAGATACATTTCCTTCACAGAAGAAAAATACAAGGGGTTTTCTGTCGGTGTAAGATACTTTAGAGTCCTCGTTTGCAAAATTAGGTTCCCTCAGGCTTTCCTGAGCAGTCTGCTCTTCCTCAGGCCAGGAAGGAAGAGCTTGCGTCTGTGCAACATGAGCCCGTACCACAGCTCTCACCCAGCTTCACTTTCGCTCACGGAGCTGTAAGCGACAGGGTTCACCAAGGCTTTCAAAAAAAGGCCCAAAACCCAAACCAGCCCCTGGCGCATTCCCCTGCTGTGACCCGCTGCCAGGGTCATTAGTGTCAGCATCACCTACCGGAGGGGCACTGGTCTGGGCTTGCGAAAGATGCTGCCCTCGCTCATACCCCAGCAGGTCGCGGTGGCGGCAGTGCCCGCTGGTGAAAGGCAGGGCAGGGCTGAACTCCGCCCCGCCACTGCCTGCGGGGCTTAACGGAACAGATCCTGGGGCAGGAGGGGCCGGTGCGGGGCGAGGAGGGGAATACAAACAAACACCTGCTCTGCCCACCTGCCCACCAGCTCTGCCCTCACCCTCAGGAACGACAGCGGCTGCCAGCTCAGCGGCAGGAGACAAGCCAAGCCCTGTGCAAGCGGCCCAGGAAGGGGCCGCGACCCTTACCGAAACAGCGAGCGCCGCGTTCAGCTGCCTGCTACTTATATCCTAGCATTACCCCAGCCCTGGCTGCAAAATACCTCAGTGTTTGGTTCTACATGAGTCTACCTCTGCCCGCAGTCTCTGAATTTGCTGAATTAAGTTTTGAGGCAAATTCTTCTCTGCAGCAAAGCTCCCCAAAGCCTCATTTTTCTGCTCACTAGCAGGTAGTGTTTACTGGCTCGTCCTAAACAGCACAGACCTCTCAGGACACCACCAGCCTCCGAAGCTTCATTAGTCTTGCCTGCACACTCAGGAGCTTCTTAATGCAAACGTCAGGAGTTCACAGAAACGCTTAACATGCAGCAGCCTCACAGGCCCCATCCTATAAAAGATTTACACGTCTTCCCGTGACTGTCTAAGGTAACGCGGGGCTTCTTTCCCGGCCCTTGCAAATTAAATGCTACTTAGCAAGGCTCTCCCACGTGGAGACTACAACCAAGGAAACTCAAATCAATTGACTGCAATTGGGTGTTTGAGATGCACCATTATGGATTCTTCCCCCCAAAGTAACGCTGGCTAGAGCCCCCTCCCCCGCCCAACAAATGAGCCTTTGAGAAGTGCGTACTACGTACCGCAGGCCTAACGCTACTCTCACGTCCTCCTCCAATACACCCTTTGGCCACCTGCAGTCATGCTGAAGTATTGGCTCTGGACAGGCAGTACCCTGGCGAAAGCATGGATTCTGCAGTGAGCGCCGCCTGCGGAGACACCGGATCTCAAGAGAAGTCCCTGAAGGATTTCACTGAGGAGGAGAGGTCTGGGCTCACCCTTCCCAGCGGTGGGCTCGAAGCATCCTAATAAACACAGCTTAAACGTTTGCCCAAAAGGATGAAAAGGTGAGGTGCTGTCAGCATCCTCGTGCCGCAGCACACCTAGCTTAACCCACCAGAAGTCACCATTTTAGGGTTAAGTATGCCAACACTGCCATGGTCTGCAAGAGATAAAAATGACAGTTCAGAGAAAAAGAAGAGCCCCCGCTTCTACTCTAGGCAAGAAGTGTTTTCTTAAAATGCAAACAACCCCCAAACTTTCCAATCACGTTAATACTGCACTCTTTAGCTCGGCAGCAAAGGATTCGCTTCTTAGACAAGGCATTAATAAATACCTGAAGCAACCAAGATGAGTCGATCGCTACAAAATAACTTTCCCTCAACAGAGTTCACCAACGTTAAGCCAGCTGCCTGATGGTCTTTATAAGCAACAAAGCACCCTTATTCTTCCATAAAATCACATCACCTCACTTTCAGTCAAGTTCAGGATTACAACATCAGCTACTTAAAAAAAATAAAAATAATCTGTATTGTTATCCCCTTGAATGCACTCGAGTCAGAGTCACTGGCGTACGGGCTTCAGTGCCGGGAGGAGAGGCTGTATTTGGCTGCCTCTTCCCCTTAGGATTTTTTTTCTACAACTGAGCTTTGTGGTAATCTCCCTTCCAATCCATCCGTTGAAATATTTGAGGTTAGTGTTGTGTTGGAGGTATGGGCCACCAGGCCTTGTGTTTTAAAATAGATGATATAAAATACTGGCAGTACAATTCCTATCAGGAGCATAATAAAAACTGCGTTCCACCACTGGATTCCACAGTCTGCACCGTTACTGGTCTCCTGCTTCCCTGGCTCGGGCTGCGGCCTCTCCAGTGCTTCCATGCAATACTCTGCGTTTAGCTGGACCTCCACCTGCACCGCGTCCTGAATGCTCTTGTCAATCCCCTTGAAGTAGTCGCTCAGGTGCCTGCCGTCAGCAGAGCTGCTCGCACCGTCATCAGGCTCCGGTAAGTCCACCAGCGTCAGGCCGGTCTGGGAGGGCCCCGTCGGGAGCGGCCTTAGTTCTCTGCCATGCTCCGTTAACAGCCCATGGGTCTTCACGGGGATCTTGATGGACTTCAGTGCATACAAGTCCTGCTCCCGGATGAAGTTGTTGACGCGTTTGATATCTGCAACCTGCAGGATCCAAAAAGGACACGAATATTAGTGCAGGACAACCCAGCCTTTTACCAGTACTGAAGCAGGAAGCAGCTACAAAACTAGTGCAGAAGCAGCAGCCAGAAAATAAAAGCAAGCCCTGGCTGCAAGCGGCCTCGTGTTTTGCAGAGATTTCCCAGCTGTTCCAGGGATGCTCCAGGTCCTGCAGGACAGAGACGGTCCCCTATTAAACCAGTCTATAACTTCCTCTACTGCTCTTCTGTCTCTCATGGGCTGTATTTTGCTTAATACTGTTTTTCCTTCCTTCTGCTTTCTTTACCCTTCTCTCACTTACTTTCTAATCCAAGTTAAGGCAAGAAGAGTCTTTATAGCAGATCCTTTTAAAAATAGTTTTCATACCTTAAACAATGCATGAGTGTTTAAGGTGAGACGACAACGTCACTACGAGCAGGGAAAGCCCTCCCCCTGCTCAGAAAGCCATTTCAGAGTGAACAGAGCTCCATCTTTGGAGCATACTGCAGTTTTGAAAGTAAGATTACAGCCTGGCAGAGAGCAGGCGAGCCTCTCTCCCAGACAGACACGAGCACCCTTTGCTCATGTTCCCAAGCACCACCCCTCTTCTGCACGACAGCAGCTCCGTACAGCTCATTTCTCCACAGCTG